TTTTTTTTTGTGTCTGTTACCACTTTTTCTCAGCTCTCACTGAACGGATTTCTTTCAACGATACGTCAAAAGATCACAAATTGTATCTAGTCGAAGACATTACCTTCAAAAATTGACAAAATTTCCCTCGTTCCCCGTAAATGGGGGAAACCTCCAAAAAAATTACAAATTTAAAAATCGCTAATTTTCGAAAATTTTTCAATCTTTTTAACTTAAAATTGCTATAACTTTTTTAAAAATAACCAAATCAATATAATTTTTTTTTATATAAATGCATGATATCATTACCTTTCATTTGAAATATTTTTTTTTTATATGTGAACCTTTACTTGCCTACAGGGGGGGATTTAAAACGACAACATTTTCACAAAAAATTAATTTTTTCAACTTGACTTTTAAAATGTTTCAGAAGGCCTGACATTTTTATATATATCTTAAATTAAAGCTAATAAAATATACTTTATCATAAAAAAAAAAAATTCAAACTTTATTTTATCTTCACGTTGAAAATGGCTACCAAATGCTATTTTTGTGTGAAAAATTTCGATTTTGTATTTTACATTTTTAACTTTATTATGCTATAACTATTTGAAAAATGTATGGATCAATACAATTTTTTCATGAGAAGTAGTATTTATATATATTTTTCATTCAACATATTGTTTTTTAAATCGGTTCATTTCCCTATATACGAGGGGGTTCAAATCTAAAAAATGCATGTAGAAAGTAGAACTTTTTCAACTTGACTTTTGAAAATGTTCAGGAAATACTGACATTTTTATTTATATCTTAATTTAATGTTAATGTAATCTACTTTATTATGCGAAAAAAAAAATTTGATCTCTGGGCTTGTCTTCGTAGTGAAAATGGCTACTGAATGCTATTTTTGTGTGAAAATTTTCGATTTTATATTTTACATTTTTAACTTTATTATGCTATAACTTTTTGAAAAATGTATGGATCATTACAATTTTTTTATGAGAAGTAGTATTTTTTAATAATATCTTTTTCATTTGACATACTATATCTTAATCAGGATATTAATAACGAACTAGCAGATCATGTTGCTTTTGGTATAATCCACCATTTTTTTAAAATTAAATACTATCTAAAGATTTGCATCGAAGCGTTTTTTCTTGATAGTGATTTTAATCACGGTTAGATATCATAATACTTGAGCCAACTATGCCACGTCACCAGTGTGCCGCGACCCCCCTGTGCTGGGTTGTTTTTTTTAATGTATAACCTACGCTGGTCTGATCTGAAAATAGTAATGTGGTTTTTTACTGACCCAAACACTAAAGTCTGCGCACGTGATTACAGTAGTATAATTGTAGTATACTATGGTATATTATTTGTATTCAATCAATAAAAATAATTTTCAAAAATGGACATTTAGTATAATGAGTTAGAATTTTTTGGACATAATAGTTGGCAAAATTTTCAGTTCTTACTTGTCTAAAAATGTCNTAATGGGTTAGAATTTTTTGGACATAATAGTTGGCAAAATTTTCAGTTCTTACTTGTCTAAAAATGTCTCAATATTTTAGAAGATTCCATATTATACTCAGTTAAAAAAACTATCCTGATATATTATTAGATTGATTTTTTATTGTAAAGTTTTAATAGTGAAACGGTATGTCGGACGCTTATTTATTTATATAAATGTGTTTGCTAAATTAATATCATTTATGACATATTATATTCTAAATTTATTGACATAAATACGAATGATTACAATCATACATGTAATTTTCTAAGCATACAATTGCTTTGTGAATTTTCTTATTAAAATAATTGTATATAAAATATTTTATATTTTTGTTCGTTGGTTAAATTTTTCCACATCATTAGAATATAGGGAATTAAATTGTAGTTCTCCAAGTAAATTTTAAATTATTTTAAACATAATGAAAAATATTCGCTAAAATTAGAAGAGAACAAATCAAATATTTTGAGACGTGATTTATGTAACACGTGCAGAACTGGGTTAACAATGTGGAGGACAGGCTTAAAGTAAATAAATATATATAATTTTGAAATTTGTTACATTATTTATGTACAAAACAATTAAAATCTTAAAAATTTTCATTCGCTTTAGACGATGCTTATCATTTGATATACCAACAATTTGGCGACAGTCAATGTGTCACGAATTTCATTGTTACTTCTGCTTAACTAAAATAAAGCAACATGGACGTCATAAAACTGTTGAATATGAACATGTAAACACCATGTCAAAATCAGTTCCACATTCACTCTTAGTTAAATATCCTGTTTGCCCCAAAAGAAGAAATAGAATTAGTGAATCACCCGAGAATTAGTAGAAATACTGAAGAGGAAAAAAGTTAAAATTTGTTGTGTACAGAAAACTAAGTGGAAAAGAGAAAAATCGAAGGAAACAGGTGAGGGTTATAAAATAATATACTCAATGGAGTATAGTACAAAGAATGATGTAGGGATAATAATGGGCGAGGAAATGAAACGTAAAGTAGTAGAAGTAGCTAGGAAAAGTTAAAGTATTATAGTCGTGAAATTGATATTCGAGGAAAAAGTGCTGAATGTAATAAATGCCTATGCACCACAAGTAGGATGTGATGAAATAGGCAAGGAAGTGTTTTGGAGAGATTGATGAGGTGATGCAAGGGGTACCTGGCAATGAGGATGTGGTGATAGCTGGAGATATGAATGGACATGTAGGTAATGAGAGAAAAATATGAAAGAGAACACGGAGGATATGGTTTTTTTAGTGGGAAGAATGAGGCTGGAATGAGTGGGAGGAATAGATCACAGATTGATTATTTTATGTGGAAGAGAGAGAGTGTAAAGCGAGAGAGTAAAGAATTGAAAAGTTATACCAGACGAGAGTGTTACTACATAGCATAGATTGATGGTAATGGAGTTTTGGTGTACTAGGAAAAGAATATACAAAAACAGAAGAAACACGGAAGAACAATCAAAATCCGTTGGTTGAAATTGAAAGAAGAAAATGAAAAAGAGTTTGTCAAGATGGTAAAAGAGAGGACACTGTGGAATGATGATGAAGACATAAATGATGTGTGGAATAGATTTGCTAGTTGTGTTAAGAATATTGCAAAAGAGATTATTGATGAGAGTAAGAGTAGAATGCCAGGTAACCTGGGGTGGGATGAAGACGTTCAAGAATTCATAGAAAGTTAGAAAAAGCAATTCAAAGTATGACAGAAGAGCAAAAGGAAGAAGACTGGATGGAGTATAAACGCATGTACAAATAAGCCAAGTGTGCAGTAAGTAAGGCGAAGTTAAAGAGAGAGGTATGATGAGTTTTATGATAGGCTAGGAACAAAGAATAGAATAGAAAAAAATCTATAGACTTGAAAAGTGAGAGAGAAAAAGTCTAACAATTATCATTATTTAAGATGCATAAAAAGTGATGATAATAAGATACTCTCGAGTAATGATGATGTGAAAAAAGATAGAAAGAGTAATTTGAAAAATTATTGAATGTGGAGTACCCAAAGTCATTAGAGGATATCTTGTGGAATTAGAGACTGGTAGATTTAATTAGTGAGAAACAGGTATGGGAGGCTGTGGTATCAATGAAAAAGAATAAAGCAGTGGGATCAGATGAAGTTCCAGTAGAAGTATGAAAAATATTAAGTGGTGTTGACATAAGGTGGTTGACGGAACTTTTAAATAAAATTTTATTAGAAAGGAAAATTCCAAATTAATGGAGGGATGGTATTGTGGTGCCGATATTTAAAGGTGAAGATGACATACATGAAAGTGGAAATTATAGAGGCATAAAGCTTATGAGTCATAGTATGAAAATTTGGGAAAAGGTAATAGATAAGTGAATAAGAAATGAGACATCGGTATCTAAAAACCAGTTTGGATTTATACCTGGTAAGTCAACAATGATGCCATTATTTTGTGTGAGGCAACTAATAGAAAAGTTTAGGGAAAAAAAGAAAAAGCTTTGTATGGTATTTATAGATTTGGAAAAAGCGTATGATAGAGTATTAAGTGAGGTTCTAAAGTGGGCATTAATGAGAAAAGGCGTCCTGAAAAGGTACATTAATATAATTAAGTATATGTATGATGGCACTTTTACTAGGGTAAAAAGTGTGGGAGGAGTTACATAAGGTTTTCGATAATTTTAACGCTAGTTAGGTGAATAAGGAGACCAGTGACAATAGGCGAGGACGTGATTGAAGAGGTGGAAAGTTTTAAGTATTGAGGATCAGTTGTGCAAAAGAGCGGTGGTATTGACGAGGATGTAAGACTATGAGGATGCGATAAAAGAATTCCAATGAGGCTGAAAGGTAAATTCTACAAGTCTGTAGTGAGACCAGCTATGATGTTTGGTTCAGAGTGTTGGGTAGTTGATAAGAAAGTAGAGCAGACTCATCCATCATGAGTAGACTGACTAGAGAAGATAAGATAAGAAATGAGCATACAAGATGGTGTATAGGTGTAGCGTCAATCATAGATAAGATAGGAGATGGTTTTGTCATCTTATGAGAAGAGAAGAATCGGAAGCCGTAAGAAAACTGTTGTAGAAATGAATGTTGAAGGAAGAAGAGGAATGTTAAAGGAAGACCAAAACAGAGATGGAGAGATGTTATTGAATGCGATATATGGACAGCTGAAGGGAACATAGAGGATGTGGGAAATCTTGTTAAGTGGAAGTTAAGGATAAGGATGGTCGACTCCAAGTAGTTGGGATTAAGGTGAGGAAAAAGAAGAAGACAAATAAAAGTTACATTTTACAGAAGTCGTCAGAAATATTATGCTCAATATTATATAAAAACAGTGGGGTCGCAGGACAGTATAGAAATGGCATAGTTGAGACAATCATAGATGATATCTGATAATGATTAAAATCACTATCATAAAAAACACGCTTCGGTGCAAATCTGTAGATAGTGTTTAATTTCAAGAAATTGGTAGATTATTTTAAAAGCAACTATAATTCTTATTCCCTGAATTTTATCCCGATTAGTTATTTGATTTATCATTATAATATATGAATAAATAATAATTATAATATTTAAATTTAGTATGAAATTGATATTCAATAATTTAATATTGTAATTTTTACGGAGATATTATAAAAATAATAAAGTAGTTGTATATTTTTTTACTTGTAACGCGTATAGAAATTTAAAGGGCTTGATGCAATACTTTTCAATATAAAATGTTTGTTATTTATAACAAAGTTGTACGTTTTATACACTGGACTACAAGGTTTGTTCATCCAATCAATCACTTATAATTATAAGACAGTATATTAAAATATTAGACATTATAAACACATATATATTTAGTTTGTTGTTGTACGTTTGATAGTGAATGTTTATTTCTGTGAGGTATTAATTCTATTGAGTATTACAATCATTTTTTGAAAATTTGCAAATTATTATTTAATCGTCCTTATAATAAAATAATTTTTTTTGTCATCATTAAAATTATCCATTGTGCATTGATTATCAAACATAATCAATGGTGACTATGATAAGGATTCCCCAGCTGATCACTACAACCGGTCCCAGGTGCAAAACGAATATGCATATACTGTTGTCATCGTCGTTGTCCATTTTTTATCAGACATTACACCGTGCAGTCGGCTGGCCGTTTGGTTCAAATACAAATCCCACTTACTTTTTTTCCGTTTGTAGTTTTATTTAATCACTTTTTACTTTTGTCCACTGATGCTGTCAAACAACACAATGGCTTCCTAAGTTTTACTTTTTGGCCCTGGCGATCCAACCATGAGTGAAGACGATTATGTGAGCTACGGCATGAACGACGTTTTAATTATGTTTTGGTAACTTCTACAATATTTTCCCCTTCTTCCATGTTTTTGTCAATTGTCTTATTCGTGAATTGTTAAAAGGTTTTCTTAGCTTTGAAGTTTATATGAATTGATATATTTAATTAATTTTTATGATTATTCTATTGAAAGTTTCGAAACCAGTTGCTTATTGATTAATACAATTGTTTAATGAAAAATATTCCTTCAAACATCAGTGTTGATTACTTTCCATGTTAAATGTAACAATACCCCACATGTGTCTATTCCCCTGGAGACGTGCTTTGCTAAGAAACCTAGATCCCTATTGACTGTGGCCAATAATTCGTTTGAGCATACATGCAATGATAACTATTTATTTAGTTCAATGTTGTTATATTTATTCTATCTCACTGGCCTATAGAATCAGTGGCGTATTTTGGGAGTTTGTCCTCCATGTCTGGACACCCCCCGACTTAAAAAAAAAAGATACATAATATATTGGTATTACCTTTTTTTTATAATATACTATAAAATAAATGGTATTTTAAATAAATGACAAAAATGAAGTTAATTTGATATGATTCAATGACACGTTACGAGATTTATCTACATTTTATCAGGGATATCTAGAAATTATTTGAATTTCACTGGGTCATAAAGATAACAAAAATACCCGCAGGAAAAATATAATAACAACGGAAATATTCTGAACTTGTAGCTTATTTTGAAATCTATTTTATATAGTTTATCAGTTTAGAGAATTATACATTTGAATAATACTATTATTTGACATTCATTTTTTCGTCGACCATAGAGCATACAGCTATAACGTGCCATAAAGTAAGTACTAAGTACCTACCTATTTATTCAAATAAAATAAATAATTAAAATATGAACCAATCATAGGAATTTTATTAGAAATTACGAATAAATAACGAATAAATGTGTAATAAACTATTATACAATTTTAATTTTATTTAAATATTTTAAAATAATATTTTAAATTTTATTATATCTTAACTAAGTTATTACGCGTTACAAAAAAAGTAAAGTTTAACAAGTCATTTATAACTGAGTTTGTAAAAGTTTATTTTATAATTTTGATCAGTATTATGCTTCAGTTAGCTATTCCAAAAAAATATTAATACATAAATAATATTTAAGGAAACTAGTAATTTTTACTTGTTTCCTTTTACCCGTGCTGTCCATTTATACATTATACTAGCAATATAGTCTTTGAAATTGAGTCTCCTCTTAAAAAATACATATCAACTACTAATATGATTAATAAACTATTAGAATAAGAGTAAGTAATTATATTAAAATATAATATTTTGTCACTGAATAGAAAAATTCGTGTTTTGTCGATATTGCAATCTACGTTCTCTATAATTTGTTCTTTTGGCGAGTTTTACAGATATCCGGCAGTCACTACGACGATGGCGGTTAGAGTAAAAATGCCGCACTGCCGCCCGAGTGTTTCAATCATATTATGTAATATTATGACTGGGGTAGCTGAGGGAGCCAAGATAAATTGCTTTTATTCATTTAGTATTCAACCAATTTAAATTTTTTTTCTCTAAGTTACTTATACTTGTATGTAACTCTACAAAATGGTTCTTTAAGAATTTTTCGAAAAAATAAAAAATTAAACGTTTTTGAATTTTGTTTAACTATTATAGTTTGCGATAATTAAGGAAAAAAATGTTGTAAAATTATCAAAAATGGCACAAAAAAAGCAAGGATCAATCAATTCCTTTTTTAAGGTAACACCTACTACCTCAGAATTTAATTGAACTCATAACAACAATACTTTTACGAATAAACGAGCATCTTCGCCAGTTAACTCGATTGACTCTGCTAAAATTTGTCGCACTTTAAGTTTAAATACAAAAGACTCAAATAATATTTTTTTTACTGAGGACACAAACTATAGTAATAATTATGATATTGAATTTTATATTAACCGTAAGTTATCGAACGAAGATATCTTAATTGTTATGACGAAAATTTGGATGCCAAATATATCATTCAAATTCCCACAAAAACTATATACAGTTCAAAATAAACCAAAATACTTAAAGTTCCAGTATTCATGGCTATTAAGATTCCCTTGGTTGGTATACTCGATAAAAAAAAATGGTGCATTTTGTCGAATCTGTGTAGCTTTTTCCAAATCGAATGAAAATAACGGACAAATCTTAGGTGCATTAGTAAAAAAAAATATGATAATTGGAGAAATGCTATTGTTGATTTCAAAGAACATTCTAACAAGGGTTACCATAAAACGTGTGTGTTAAGTTCAGATAATTTCATGGATGTTGTAAAACATCCTGAGAAATCTATAACGTGTAAAATAGAAACTGGAAGAGCTGAACTAATTAGAAAAAATCGAAAAAATATAACTCCAATAATTCAAACCGTAATTTTATGTGGTAAACAAAATATTCCTCTCAGAGGACATCGAGATTCTGGGAAAATTATTGTTGAACAAGAAAATGACAGGCTTATCCAAGAAAATCAGGGAAATTTTAGAGAAATATTAAGATATAGAGGCTAAGGAGATAAAAATTTAAAATCATTTTTGGAAGCTGAAGGAACAATAAAATATACAAGTGCAACACTTCAAAATGAAATAATTGAATCCTGCAATAAAATTATTTTAAATAAAATCGTAACAAACATAAATGCCCAAAGATGTTTCACAATACTTGCTGATGAAACAGCTGACAATGGTGGAATCGAAAAAGTATCTTTGTGTCCACGATATTTAGATGTTGAAAATATGATTATCATGGAAGAATTTCTTCAGTTTGTGTCTACGACAGATACTACTGGAAAAGGTTTAGCCGATATTATTATACAAAGTTTACATTCATTTGGTGTAGATACAAAATACCTTAGAGGACAGGGTTACGATGGATGTGCTTCTATGTCTGGTCAATTTAACGGAGCTCAAGCTATTATCCACCAAAGTCACCCGCTTGCGACGTATGTTCATTGTGCTGCTCATGTTTTAAACCTTGCTATTTCTTATTCATGTTCTATACAAAAAATACGAAATTGTTTAGGAACAATATCTAAAGTTAGAGATTTCTTTATATACCCGAAGCGAAAAGATGTGTTGAAAAGTCAAATCGAAGAAAGCCAAGAATTTATTACAAAAAAAACATTAAAACGATTATGTGCGACTAGATGGGTTGAACGTTTTCATGCTGTCAATGATTTTCTTGAGATTTTTGAGTACGTAATTGAATCGTTATTTATAATTTCGAAGTGGAGTGTTACTGAAACATCATCACAAGCAAGCAATCTACGAACATCAATACTGAAGGAAGATTTTATTATTTGTTTACTTATTGTGAATAAAGTATTTAGTTTTGTGTTACCTCTTTCAAAACAACTTCAAAGAATAAATATTGAACTAGGTAAAGCTATGGATCTTGCGAAAGATACAATAAAAGAACTTCAAACTTTAAAATCGAATGCTGAGTCTGAATTTCATAAAATTTTTGAAAATGCATTGACTTTATCAAATAAACTAGATACAAATATTTCCATACCACGTATTATAGGAAGACAAACGAAAAGACTAAATATTGAGACAAATTCACAAGAGTCATATTTTCGAGTTGCTTTTTAGCTTCGATGCGAAGCTGAGAAGGTATTGGTTTTACTAAGATGTGTTTTTTTTTTTTTTTTTTTTTTTTTTTT